GAAACCCCGCCTCCTGCGCTCGCCATCTGGGCTCTGCTCTAGGAAGGAGGCTCTGGCAAGCCACTTCCGAAACACCTTGCCCTGAAAACTGCAAAGGACTCGTCCAAAAGCAGTCACTGCAGAGTCGGTAACGACTGAGTGGAGGAAAAAAAAAAAGTCACTAGACTAGTCCCTAATGTGCCACAAGCCTTTCTGGTTTTGTCCTGGAAGACAGAGTTGCAGAGTTTCTCCTCCCATCTGCTTTCTCTCTGCTTCCCGGCAAGACCAGAAGGCAGAAGACGCCTCTTGAAAGGGGGGGGTGGGGGAAAGGAAGGTTTCTCCTTCCAAGCAGGCAGCATTCAAAGGTCCCCTGCAGAGGCTTCCAACACAGCGCACTCGAACCTAAGTCAGCTCCTGAGCTTAAGATAGTCTAGGTGAGCCTCTGGACTGAAGCTCCAGGGGAGGAGAGCGGCAGGCAGGGTCTCCTTCTAGGGGTCTCTGCCCAGACAGCAAAGACAACCAAACCTCAACATCAAAGGACCCAGGGAAGGTGAGGCTTTAGTTCTGATCCTCAAACTATCAGGAGCCAGAAATGACAACCCTACCCTCACAGCAAGAGGAGGAAGGCCATCTTGAGAATTTCAGCTTGAGATTATCCCCCCCACCCCACCAAGCTGCTGTTTTTAGGGTTGTAAAAAGGGGCTTAGAAATGACTGGGAAAAACATCTGGCAAAACTCCAAAAACAGTGAATTCTATGGGGAAGTCTCTCATGTACAAAAACAGGAAAAGCATGCAGTCTGCATAATGCATTGATTCAGTCTTGGGGGAGGCAGAAAAGAAATCTGGGTCTTCTGCCCTCCCTGGGATCTGCTGGTAATACCCGAGGACAATTCTTGGTTCTTTCCTTGACAAATTCAAAAACAAAAGCAACCAAGTTGGTTTCTTCCCATCCAAGCTGACACCAAATCCCAAACCCTGTAGGTCAAAATGAGTCCGCCAGAGCCAAAATCCTGCTTTTGTAAAGCTCCCCCCAGCAAGATAGGAGGGCAGTGCTGCTCCTCCAGAAAGCAATTCTCCCCAGAGCTCAGGGCTTTGACCCGCCATGCAGCCACCCAAACGTTAGCAGGGAAAGAGCCTCAAACACATTCCTCTGACTTTCAGGGGAGGGAGGGAGGGTGATTACCCCCACAGCAGAAGTCCCTTGCACTGGCCCCACAATGCCAGGTGGCCCCAGCCAAGCCATCCAGAGAGGGCCATGCACCAGGGCCTGGTCCTCAGGATGGCAGACGCAGCCTACTCTGGTGGTACCCACACTGCCTCCATCTCAGAGGCCACTGCAGGACACTCTTTCCACCCAGCCACCCTGTGAGGGAAAAGCTGGCACAAAAGCAAAGGGATCTGGGCCCAGCATAGTCTCAATGGCAGGAAAATAACAAGAGCTGAAGGATGGAGTGGCAGAAAGAAAACATTCACACGTATGTGCATGTGCAAGAATAGTCCTTTGAAATGGCTTTTGCCAGCAAACAGAATTAGTCTGGAGTCCAATGCAGTGAGCGGGGCACAGAACCAAAGAACTGAGCCCTGTCTTCCAGCAGAGCCAGGTGCAGGCAAAGAGTCGCTGTTGTGTTGCATTCCTTTGTCTGCACAGACGGCAATGCTCTGATCCACATATTAAAGAGACGTCAAGTCTCACCTTGCAAAAGCCACCGGAAAAGCAGAATATTCCACAGCAGAGTTACAAACTATTCCTTAATGGGACATCCAAACCCTGTGCACAGCAAATTCTGTCATGTGGAATTTATTCAGAGATAGCATCCACCTTTGGTAAGAACAAATTTATCTGTCTGTAGGTATATGAGCGTACGGTTGTGCAATGTTTCACACTGGGGAAAAATAAAGAAGACCACCCTGCAAGATGGGGAGGGGAGAGTCACTATGCAGTAATGCAATTTCACAAGTAAACTTTTCTAAACATAAAAAGCTGCAGCAGAAATGCCCAAAAACTCTTCCATGAGCTACCTGCTACTGTTGTGTCAACAAAACAAGCAGGGACATCCGGTGTGTGTGGGGGGGGAGGGGTGCCTGTGTAAAACACATAAAAAGGGACGCCACTTCAGTCATGCAGGTGCCTTCTTGACATTTTCAACTCCCAACCGCTGATGCCCCCTCAAACAAGAACCTGAGAAGCAAAACTTTCCAGCACCGAGGCAAAGATTCAAGCTTACACACACAGTATTAAAATGTTAGCCAGGAAAAGCTGTGGTTTGCTCGTCCTTCTGCAGCAGAGCCCTGGCTTGCCAACCCCCTACAAAGGCAGCAGCCGTCACCTCATCAACCAGCCCCGCGCCAGCTGGGAGAACCTGGGCAGCTCAGCTCACTTTCACTATGACAGGCAAAAAGAGACAGGCCGGAGCCCAATAAAATCAGAAGGGCCGATGGTTTCAGGGCAATTTTTAATCAGAGAACAAACAACAACCTCAAGAGAATGAAACCGATGGCAACCGTGAGGAACCTTGCTGAGGCCTCCTCACCAGAGCAAATCTTGTGAACTGAATTTTAGGCAAGCAAGTGGCTCTGGGCATGCTTCTATTAACCCCCATGACCACTGGTGAGGGCAGATCTTTGAGATGTGTTATTTGACTGTCAAGGAACAAAGGCAGCACAAGCAACATCTCCCTTCCCTGCTGAGCACTGGTGGCCCAAAGCTAACACTTCCTATCGTGACACAATCCCCCCTGCCCATATTTTCACTGGACGCACATCAACATCGCTGGCTGAGAAAGAACCTGTCCTCTTCTTTCCACCATGTGCCCTCTCTAGGAGTCCTATGAAGAACAGTGGCCCACAGTCCAGCAGCCCCCCAAGCCAACGAGGCAGATGGCTCTCTCACGGCAGCAACATATGGCTGAGACAAGATGCCCGTCTGCCTCCTGGTGTCTCTGTGAGTCCTGCCCTTCCCAGTAACACTGCAAAGCAGGACTGCCTCTGTTTAGGGTACACAACGGGAACAAAGAATAAATACGCTTGGTGAGAGGCAGACTGGGAACTCCACCTACCCCAATGATGGCGTTCAGCTCCGTCATTGTCACCTGCTTGGCCCGCTCAACAGCCTGAGCTACTTGCTGCTGGTGCTGTGGAAAGACAGGTAGAAAGATGGAAGGCTTCCAAGGGCGCACCTGTGATTCAGAAGTCAGCCAATTCAGCTGCCGTCACTGTTGCCCCAAGGAAAGTAGGGGAGCTCCTGCAACTTGGCGGGGATGCCTCGAGAAGAATCCTAACCCTAACCCCAAGCCACAATTCTCAGGTGTCCTTGCTGGATCATTACGAAACTGGCATGGACATTCCCTCAGAAGAGGCAGGGAGGGAGAATCTGTGGCTTGCCAAAGGGTGTCGTCCTCCATCCCCAGAGGCAAGCAGTGGTTAGGGATGAGGAGAACTACGATCACAGATTGCCCACTCTTGCAGCTCTTGCAGTTGCGGCAAGCCTGTGGGGTTGCAAACATGTGGGGCGAGGAGAACTCGAGTCTCTGGGGAAGGGGATAGTATAGGGAAATGTCAGGGTGGTAGCCTCCCACAACCTATTGCCTTCCAGTACATTATCCCCATTGTATCTATAGAATGCATCTACTGGTGGCACTGAAGCAAAGGAAGTGGAAAAAATGACCTACTACTTGGCAAGAGGAAAAGTAACTAGTATATTATAGCCCATCATTGGCTCAAGCCAACCATGCCCGGTGGCCAAGTCTTTAAAACTGCAAACACTGGAAAAAGGAAGAATAAACATTACCAGCCAACATGCCTAAGCAAAGAAGTTGTCCCTGAGCAAAAAGAAGGGGGGGGGCAGGGGGCAGCTGATGCCATGAGAAAGGAAGTGGTTAGCAGCAGGTAAGAAAATGGCAGATGGGCTCTCTGGGTTTTAGCACCACACGCACATAATTCAAGAGAGCCAGGCTATTAAGGGGCATATTGAAACCAGACTGCCATCTGGCCTGGCACAGGGAACAGCCCAGTAGGACTGTGACAGGCTCACACAGCTTTGCAGTGCAGACACCCTTAGAGTATCGGATACCGTTCCAAAGAACCTTCCTCCCATCTGACTGAAAAGCTGCAGAAGAGGAAAGAAGTGGGGAAACCAGGCCATGCCCTCCAAAAGAGAAGTTCTAACAAGTGGGAGCTTTCTGAATTAAAAAATGATAGCTATTTGGGGGAGGGAGAGGACAGACGCTTTATAACTTTTCCTCTTGCGAAGAAAGATGATGCAAGTTTATCTCTTTTACCCAATAGTGAAGGAGATAAAGTTCAACCCAAAGGTACTACTTATTTATCTAACCATCCATGTGCCCCATAAAGCTGGAGATTCAAGCCAGACAAAAAGGAGGACATCTTCGCCCACTGACCTGTCCAACTGTGGAATTTGCTGTCAGAAAATGAGCATGTCATATCTGCCACCAAATGCGATGGCTTTAAGGACAAGCAGGGGACAGCCGCTTCAGTGGTACTCCACAAAGCCTCCATGTGAAGGCAAAATTATGCCCCTGGGACTCCCGCCACAGTCCTTGCTCCTGCCCTGTTCCTTATGAGTGTCCCAGGCAGAGCATCTGGTCAGCCAGTTAAGAAGCAGGAGGCAGACTTTTCCAGCAGGTGCCTTAGGGGGCAATCCCAAGCCTGGCTTAGACTTCCCGCCCTCCCTCAATCCCAAAGAGTTTCTTACCTCTTGTGACAGAAAAGGCATGATCTGGGCGAGGATCGTGTTCAGTCTTTTAGCAATCTCTGTCTAAAAGCATGAGGAGAAAGAGAGAGAGAGAGAATGAATCAATGTACTGTCACTCAGTGATTATTTCAGGAAGAAAAAAAGGTTCAGAATTAGCCTTTATAGGGGCTCTGCAAGTACTTGAAAAGCGAAAACTTCCTTTCATCGCCACAATCTAGTAAAGATTTCAGTGAGCCAAGCCTGGGTCAGGGACAGCATCCTGAGGTCCAACTACTAACTGCAGATCCCAGAAGCTAAGAAAGTGCAGACCGGCTCATTTGGGTCCACTATAACAATGCCCACAACTGAGACACAGGTGGGCGATCTCTACGGTCACTCCTCTGAAATGAATGAAATGGAGCCGTGGTCACCTCCCAGAGGTCTGTACAAGCTGGAGAAAGGAGTGGTCTTGGTGGTGCTGAAAAAATATTTATGGAAGGCCTACAGCTCTGACGAAGTACCATCCTTGGAGCTTGTGGACAAAGCTGGAGGGGCAAGCTTCACCAGAACAAATAACCTCCATGCTACGTTTGACACCCGGGATCGCCTGCAGAATTTCGAGTCTTTTAAATTGGCCACTTCTTACAAGATACAGCTCCCAGCCACCCAAAGGTTCATTCCACTGAACAAGAAGTCCCTAGTCCTCATGGAGCCACAGATGACCTATTGCTCCAGACTCAGAACTCTCATGGCTTCGACAGTCACCAGCCACCATGTCATGCCTCCTCCCCACACTCTCCTGGGCAGACACACGGGTTCATCTGCCAAAGGCTCCTGCGCAAAAAAGAAGCCTGCCTCTGCTCAGCCTCCGCCAGTTCCCCAAGCCCAACGGGAGCACAAAAGCTATCCCTTTCAGTCAAGACCCCTGACATCTTCCACCAGAAAGACGGCAAGGAGTAACTGGCTCTGCCGCTTTCCTAAAGGTGGGTCGGAGGTTCCACGCAGTTGCATCTATCCTCCTCTCTTCCCCAAAAGCAAGAGGCGACTGCGCATCTGCAGACTGACCCTGTGAAACCGTTACGGAAGCTATTCCCAGTGGCGGAGAGCGAGCCCTTTGCCAGGGCATCCTACTGCATTTCGATCCCACATTTCAGCCCTCAAGGATCAATAAAAACAGCATTACACCTTCAAGCAGTTAGAAGCAGCCGAAACAATTAATGGCCCCACAGGAACAGCACACAAAGGCCTCGACCCAACTTATTTGCGGGAAGGGTTTGGAGCCATTTTTAGTGTGGTTGTTATGAAAGCTCCCCTTCCCAAAGGTGCCTGATACATCAGGGCTGCATTTTCCATCTGTCTGGGCGGTGCCTCCCCCTCATCTCTGCTAAGACTGAATGAAGACTCAGCCACCAAAGCTAGAGGACCGTCTTGAGCAGACACTTTCCCTGCAACATGAGCCTGTTTGTCACAGCCTTGGCCCCATCCCCGTCCCAAAAGCCACCAAGGGACCTCCATTCATCACCCTTCAGTTTCCATGGCAACCACAACCACCTAATCCCCATTAGAGGCCGACCAATTGCTCTTTGGGCAGACCGCAGGGAGCTGCAAAATCATATTGCTAAGCTGGGTCATTAAGCCAAGTGCACTGGGGCTGCCAATCACCAGATAAAAGCCACCCCTGGGAGGCCGGGTTGGGAAGGGGCGAGGAACAGGAACAGGTGGCCAGCAGATCAAGGCAGCTTAGCTCCAGGTGGTTCTTGCTCCCTTGCGAGTCAGCTCATCAAGTGACACACTCACACGGGTTGCTCTTTCTGCAGGGACATTACAGTACAACCCCAGATACCATGTCGCCAGGAGGAAGGACCTGCAGAGATATGAAACAAGGCTCAGGGGCTCCATCACCTTCTCCTGATATCTGCTGAACAGAGATCTGGGTCAGCTCCTGATCTGACAATCACGGGGCAACTTGCTCCCCAGCAGCCCAAGAGAACGACTCTGCGTACAGTTTTCATTTAACTCAAAAGGCACACACCTGGATTTAACACCCAGGGGTCCTTTCAAAGGCTCAGACCACACGCACAACTCCTGCCTGCAGAAGGGTTCCTCCCAGAAGGATCAGGGGCTTCATAACAAGAGCCCCAAGAGCCATGATTGCAACGTAACCTGTAATTTTTGCCCACTACCAGAAAAAAATGATCTTGAGAAAATATCCTTTAAAACACACCAGTGACAATTTTTGTACAAAATGCAGCTTTCTTTTTGACAAACCCAAATCGAAAGCACTGCATATATCGTACCTCACAGAGTGCGGTATATTACTAACTGCACTTTGTTCCACTGCACTCCTTACACAGAATCACAAAACGGTCAAGTTGGACACGGCCTTCTGCTCATCCAGGAATCCAAATTAAAGCATATCCAGTGAGTGGGAAGCCCCACACCTCCCCAGGTCACTGGTTCCACTGTCAGATTGTCCTTGCTATTTTAAGGCTGTTTCTTTCAGTTAGAATCTGCCCTCTTTTAACTTGAACCCACGATTTTGTGTCCTGCCAGACAGAATGAGAGAGAACAGGTCTTGACCTTCTGTGTGCGACACCCTTTCAGGCATTTGGCTTTGCCCAGTTTTCCTTGCTGTCTCACATACAGGTAATCTACTAGCATTCCAAGATCTTTTTCACAAGTACTAAATGAAGTAGACTCCAACCTAAACCTGAGTATCCAAGTATTATCTCCCAAGTGAAGAACTTGGCACTTATTTCTGTTAAACCTCCTTCTGTTACTTCCAGCCCATTTTTCCAGGATATCAAAATAATTTCAAATTTTTTTCCTCCTGGGGGGTGTTGATAGCTATCCCATCAAACTGTGTCACCTGCAAATCTGATAAATATTCTCACCACCTCTTCATCCAAATCATTGTTATGCTATAAGCCACCAAGGGTCTTTTGGAGCGGTCAGCTACATTTAATCTAAACAACAGTGTTGAAAAACACAAGCTCCAGCACTCACTTGATACCTCTCTACAATGCAAACTACTGATGAGCACTTTTCTGAATATGATTCTCAAGCCAGCTATGTCTCCACCTAATGCCGTTGAACCTGCACCCGACCAGTTTACTAATCAGTATGTCACGGACACATCGTTAAACGCTTTGCTGAAATCTACAACATTCCTGCAATCAGTTAAGGAAGTTACCTGTTCAAAATATGAGACAAAATTAGTCTGGCAATATTTCTTTATAACAAATCCATGTTGACTCTGGTAATTAACTTATTGTTTTAAGGGTCTTTATGATGTGCTCCGATTGGTCTGCTGAGCCTTCCTTCTTCCCTTTTTTGAAGATGGGGACAACATTTGCTCATCAGATCCACAGGATGTAAGGGTCACACATTCAGCCAAACCACCAGCTATTTGCTTCAGTACAGCAGGCTGTAATTCATCTGGTCCCAGAGGCTGAAATTCATAGTAAAGAGTGATAACCTGACGATGTCAAACTTCAAGTCCACCTGCCTGAGTTTGTCTCCCAACAGATACTGGGGTAATTAAAGTCTCCTATCGTTACAATGCCATGCCTCATGAAAGAACCGCAACCTGCTTTTGGAAGGGATCATTCATAGCTTCTCCTCAGATGGGAGGTTGATGAAAGAAACTAACATTGCATTAAAATAAGTGGAGGAACAAATGGAGGCGATCTACAGCACTGCCAAATTCATTCACATGGCTTTCCCAGCAGAAATGGGTATATTTAACCTACAGTGCCAGCTCCAGCTCCCATTTCTAGTGTTTCCGCTCCTTTTGAACAACTGGGTCTTTCATTCTCTATCCCACGTGACTCATCCCATCAGGTCTTCACTTAAGCTATTGAATTATATTTGCTATTCTGTTCTTGGAGCTCAAGCTCTTCTTGTTCATTCCCCACACTCTTGGACAGACTTCCTACAGTGCCCAGTCTTTATACAAGGTCCTTAACGCAGCATTTTCATTCCCTATCAATCTCACATTTTACCGGTCATAGTGATAGTTTCAGAGCTGTTCACTGCAATATTACTGTTGCCGCATTAGCAGGAAGGGGTAACTGATGTGATATTTGGTCTTGTCCCTGGAATACACTAAGAACGATGACTCTTCTTTTCGTCTTCTTCTATGGCATAGACACACCTTCCTCTTTAGGAATTTGACATCCTGTCTCCAATTCTGCAGGTCTGTTTTTCTTCTGGATAAAGCCTGTTTCACCCACCAGGACCTGAAAACTGTTTCTAGCTCCAGCCATGCAGGATATCTTCTGTGTCAGTGGAGACTCATGTCCTTGCACCCACTCCTTTATTTGACAGCCCTCCTTACAGAGAATTGCTTCCACTGCCAATGTCAGTTGTAGAATGTCCTTTCTTTGAACCGTTCAATCCTCATCCTTCTCATCAGTGGTACTGTGGCCATCTGCTGCTCCACATTTTTTTATTTTTCCTCAAGGACTAGGGTGAGTTTGCACTTGCTGCAGTTGTAAGTCAGGTGGGAAGTAAATCTGGCACGTGTGCTGCTAGATGCAGTTACAGATGTCTGTCTCTTCCTCTTCACTTTTACATCCTAGGGCACCATAAAGATTTTTATTCTTTCTCACCCCTTTTTCAGGCTTTCATCTTAGCCAAGTAGAAACTCTTGAGTTAGAGGAGGGTGTTGTTAAGGACTCCTTAAACTCCCTGACAAACTCCAGTCCACAGATTCCTGTTATTCCTCTTTACTCAGCAGGAAGCAGCTACAATCACCTACCCTGGGCAATGATAGAGCTGAAAAGTCCAGGATCTGCTAAAGCATTTTGGATAGATGGCTGTCCAGTCTCTGTTTGAAAATCTCTAGGGAAGGGGAATATCTGAAGACAGCCCTCTCTTCTGCAGACAGAGCATACCTAGTTACCTTAACAGTTCCTCACACAACATAGTTCCAGTCCCCATTACCTTGGTAGCTCTTCTCTGAACTGGCCATTTGTTAATGTAAGTCTCAGGACAAATCCCTCTTGTCACCCCCTGGTGACTAAAAGCAAGGCCAGGTATGATCTCCAGTGTTTTGAGCACATCTGGAAAGGACTTCTCCT